TAAGGAGGGTGCCCCCCGCCCCCAAGCGGGCCCCGCCAGGAGAGGCCATCAGTGCCCGACGGAGACCTGGAGCACAGTTTTGCTGGGACAAGCTTGCTGGCTGCCACGGTATTTCAGCCATACGCTCCTCGAGGGACAGACTTGCTTTTTGTCAGAGCCATGCAGAAGGGAGGAGCTGGCTGTCCCCCAGCAAAGTCCGAGTTCTCCGTGTGCAACCAGCGGAGCTGGATGCCGGAACCCTCCTCGCAGCACCGGCATCCGACAACAAAGAATAAATAAGCTGGAGACTGCAGAAGCTACCTTAGATGGGGAAATGCTGAAGAAAGGAATAGGTTGCCTTGGGATCGGGGAGGTTTTGCTGCTGCTGTCTTGCCTAGATAAGGGCTGCGTGAGCAGGGCCGGGGAAACCGCCTGAACAGCACCTAAATGTCTACAGATGGCAGCAAATTCTTAATTTTTCCTGGGGAGTCTCTCAAGCAGAGCTGAAGCAGCAGGGTAGAGGAGGGCCCAAGCCCTCCGTGCACTCCTGGCACAGAAACTGCTTCACGGAGCTCTTTTTCCCAGCATAGCAGGTTGGGGGTTTGTTCTGTAATAAACCGGGGCTTGATGGAAGGACGCGGAGCAGACTTGGCCTGGCACCAGCTTATGCAGTCATGCTCCCTGCGAGCTGTGGGCTTTAGTCATGCACGTGAAAACCATCTCTGCGTGCCAGGCAAAACACATTCACAAGCACTGCTGTTCATGAGTGGTCTCGTCAGCCCTCTCTCACTGGTGTCCACACTGCCAGGGCTTGACTGACGTCTGCAAGCTCCTGTCATCCCCCACTACTATCTCCTCTTCTTTCCTCCTCTGCTGACATCCCTCAGCCTGGATTCTGCCCATCGAGCAAGAGGAAAAACAGCGAGACAAAGTGGATGTAATTCCCCAGAGTGATGCTGCACAAAGCCAGAGAGGAACTACACAGAGGGCTTGGGGTGATGGATGCAGCCAAGAGAAACCTGGGACTCCACAGGGGCTTGCGATACAAATAAATCACTGGAAGCAGGACCAGTGCTGAACTGGAATGTAACTGCTGGGCAGTCGCATGCCCCTTGGCCAAATCCAGGTTCAAACCCAAGGGTCTTACACTTCTTTTCTCAGCCAAACCAAACAATGGCAAGTGCTGTTTCTTGTGGAACACGAAGCGAGATGAACAGTCTGGGCTCCCACAGCGAGTCACAGCCAGAAGCTGAGGCTTAAGGCAGCCTGCTGCCGTCCCCAAGCGATGCTGGTGTTTCTTCTGAAGAGAATTGTTTGCACGCTGCAGATAGCGGGCTCGGATCTCTCTCCAGTGTAGCACAACACTCCCACACCGTGGAGAGGCCGGCACTGGAGTCCCCTCCCGGTGAAGACAGACCCAGGGGATGCTCCTGAGGCTCAGGACTACGATGGAGCTGGGCTGGCTCGGGCGCGGGGTGGCCCAAACGCCAAAACAGATCTGTATGAGGGAAGTCCCAAAAGCTAGACTTGCTGAAATATTTCCAGAGGAAACCTGGACCAGTCCCATCCTAATACAATAATTTACTGCAGAGTTTGGCAGTATTAGGGAGTGGGCAGCCTGCTACAAAATAAGGCGGACACCACTCTACTAGGTGCTCCACCAATGCTGTAAGAGATGGTCCCTGAGATGGACACCCCTGTCTCCAAAGTCTTTACAAAGCTACCTGAAAGGAGATTCTGGCAGGAGCTAATCAGATTGCTTCACTCTCCTGTGCTCACAGCTATTAGAAACAATTTGGTAAATAAGAAGAGTATCTTGCATGCAGTTTCAGAGTCTTTTCTGCAACATATTTTGTCCTGAGCTACAGCAGCCTAACTTACTCTCTGCTTCCTCCGAAAGGGAAAATAAGAACATTCTTGACAGATAAGTGCTGGCTGCCCAAAGCGCTGCTCTGGGACTGAAAACTGAGCTAGGCTTTAATTTTAGGCCCCCACAAGTCATCGGTGCAGCAGCTGTTTTGAAACCCTATCACCTCTGTCCCTCCAACCCAACTCACGGCTGCCCATTGCAGGCAGCTGAGAAATTCCTTCGTTTGCTATTCGGGTCTCCTCCGGAACACGCAGTAAAAATGTCCCACCTGGGGCTTTTGCAGATTGCAGCAACAGATAAACGCACCATCATTCCCAATTCATGCACACAGATCCTGAGAAACGTCGATGGGACTTTCTAAAACATGGCTACTGAGTTTGGGTTCCCAGCTTGTAACTACCTAGCCCTGGCTTTCAAAGGGCTGGAAATTCCGGACCTGGTAAGCAACAAGTGAAGTTCCCCTTCTCCCCTTAAAAACATCTGCTTTGAAAATTTTGGATAGACCGATTTGGCCAGAACCAGGAACAGAAGTCAAGAGTCTGGGTTTTTGGTGGGAGCTGGTATCAGGCGGTCTGTGGCTTCCCATTTAGAGGGCTACTCCTGACCTTTGGCTTCCTCCCCATCCCAACCCCACCTCCCAGCTGCTTATCTGCACCCTGCTGAAACAGCAGCATTGCAAGGACCCAGCTTGGATCCGAAGCGGGCACAGGTCGTGCGCAAGGGCAGTGTCAGCATGGCATGACCGTGCCCAGGAGCGCGCGTGCAAGAGCTGTTCTTCCCAAGGAGGTCTGGGCAGGCTGATGCCCTCCTGAGCACAACGCCACGGGCACGAAGTGACAGCGCTGCCCGAGGGAAGGGACAGCTGAACCTTAACACACGCAGGGAGGTGAAAGCTGGGACAGCCCCATGTCGGTGTCGACGCAGCAGCCCCTGCGGCTCCGGGAACGCAGCTGGGCTCCCAGCCCCAGCGCAGACCCTTCCCGTTGACCGTGCTGAATTCACGCCCGCCTGCAGCCCCAGCTTTGCCTTAAGAGGCTTTGGCATTTCCGCTTCCTTCTAGCACGGAATTTTAGATTATCATCCCCTCCTAGGAAAACAGACCGCAAAGGAGGATCAGGCACAGAGAGCACAGACCTCTCTTCCCAGCCCAGACCCCCAGGAGGGAGCCACCAG